TCTTCAAAAAGATGGGACGAATTACTCGCGAATATATATAATTTGAACCATTGTTTCGAATGGGAACGAAACACCAGACAAGAAACACAACCTGTAATTAATCACATATTATATAACACTTGCCATCCATGTCTCACAAATGCAATTCTTCACCGCTTATCAAATACATGTCAATAGTTTTGATTTAAAAGTCAAACAAAACATTTTTGCTGTAAATTTGGATTTATAAATAAACATCAAACACTAATTTAATGTTCATTTAATTGATGCTAACATTTATGAATATTAAATTATTGGCACTAAAACATAATAATTTAGTATCAATTAAATATCAATAACAAAGTTAACTAATTAATTAAATACAGTATTCTTATATCACACTATAATTACTTATTAAATCCAAAAAAATACTTATTCATTGCATACATCACAGTATATTGCCATTAAGTAAAGCACATTATACTGTACATGTAAGTTAAATGATCATGATGCAATTACATTTATTATACCATAGTTAACTAATTAATTATTTAATCATTACGTATACGACAGTAATATGTTTGGATAGACGGTAGAAAAGTACAGGTGGTATACAATAACAGTCAATGTCATCAAAACAACGCAAAAATGCAAATTATTGTTGAATTCATTGCAAATATAGACGATTCACACAATAAATTATTTTTAAATTTAATTCACTGATAGTTCTAATTTATCTAATTGATCATCATTAACTAATGCCACTTAATGTTTGCAGTCTATATATGCTATGGAAAAATGCCCCTAAAATACTAGTAACATTCATTTCATATCATTTGTACATTAATTCAATTAATTCAACAAACTTTGAACAATTCAATAGCCATAAAGTGATAAATCATTTACGGTTCACAACGAGAGAGCATTGCATTTGACGAAGAAATACAATCTCTCAGGCAGTCTTATATTTATATATAGAATAAGATAGGCTTTCATATCAAATATTTAATACATTTGATATCAAAATATATGATAAATATGTGGCATATAATGTGCACAAATTGCTTGTGCAGACACTTTAAACAAACTTTAAAATCTCAACGCAGAGTAAACGCAGAATTAGTGATAAAAAAAAGTGCACATTTCTCTCAAATGCCGTATAATTTGTGATAAATTTAAACAAAAAAAGACAAAGCATTTGCTTAGAAGTGACGGAACTATAAAATCAGCAAAAAATGGATAGACTTTTAGAGGAAATGCAATTACAGTGCAATCAATGATAACGTATAGCAAACAATTGAAATGAAATGATGGATACCTTAACCAACCAATAGAGCGGAAACCAACTGAAGATACAGTCGGAGAAGAACTCGACCACTGAGAAGAAGGCGAACACAACCCAATAGGTTAACCATTTAGTGTCGTCCTCTTTGTGCAGACTTTCCAGAGCTTTGATTCTGCAATAAATCAGTCAATTGTCACAAACAAAGAGCGCAACAAATGCACAGTCAATACATACGAAGCATAGGCCGGGTATACGAAGCCAACGATATTGCAGACCAGTTCCGCGAAGTAACCGAATATCATGTAAATGGCGACCAAACCAATGATACCTAATCGAGACAATCAAAGAGAGACACGTGAGAGCAATGGCAGCGATGGTAAGGGATGTGTTGTGCAGACCCTGAGCCACGTAAATGCGTTTAACACCAGTTGTCTTCTCGATCTTCGCGCCGATGTCTGCCACCCGTCCCGAAGAGTGCAGCCATTTGTCTAAAGTTTGGACGAATTGGTGGTAATATTGAGACATAATTGTAATGAAAGCGACGATTAATGCAAACAATGTTTCAGTCAATCAATTACTGCTCAATGAATGCAATGTATGACTGCTTTGTAATGCTCTCAACGCTTGAGCCAATCGTTTCACTGCAAACACCTCTACACTCATCACAACATACAGTAAACACTGTTTTGTCAACAATTTTAACATTTTATGGCATTTTAATTGAGTTTTTGTGAAACAAATGTCATTTCAATTGAAATTCAAAGAGTTTCTCAAAAGGGATCAAACCATGACTTCCAGCCATTCAGACACCGACGACAACAGTCAGCAACACATCCAGTATTTCCATCGATACACAAAACTCAGGAAGAGATGCGATGCCATCAAAACAGACAACGAAAGACTCATCCAAAACATCCATCAAATGAAGACATTATCTCATAAATACAGACAACAGAAGAGGTATTGTATTCACCATTCATACCATTGATTGCCATTCATACTAATGATGTGATAATGTCTTAAATAGGATTATAATGAAACGATTGGCCAAACATCGAGATAATTATATGACCTGTGATTTACCACTATTTCTTGAGGTGAAGAACTTCATTGCAACCAATGATGGCTTCAATTAATTGTAATTAACGTATGTTTTCACGCATTCAACAGAAAGACGAGTCAACACAACAGCCAACAAGTGATGTGAAGCCAAAACATTTGGTCACAAAAGTCAATACAAACGCAACAAACATGTCATCGAAACCTAAAAAATCGAAACCAAATCAGAGTAGAAATGAGATCACATCCAACGGAACCGTTTATGTCGTTCCCAAAAAACCTATCAATCCATACCTTCTCTTCTGTCAGGAGAATAGGAGTTCATTACAAGAGAAATATCACATGAAATACAATGTATTTTTGTCAAAATGCTATTTTATTAAAGTATTAAAGTATTAATCAATTGAATTGGATTATAGGCTGAAATGACACACCAGGAGCTGACAAAAGCATTAGCACAACAATGGCATGAATTGTCACTCACTTCCAAACAGGTCTAATCAGTGATTACATTATAATTTTGGTAAAATTAAATTTTTGTAGTGATATTAATTATAATTGATATAATTGTAGATTTATTATAATCTGTTTAATAACGATAAGATTCGTTATGAGAACGAAATGAAGATATTTACTGCCAATTCATCGAAAAAGCCCCCAAACAAAGACGTCGACTGATATGGCATTACTTGGCTTTGAAATTATCCTTCAATCGTCTCAACTCACCCATCGTTGCGATCGAATCATTCTCTTTGTGGACCACTTTTTGGACACTTTGGACGTCAACTCTCATGAAAGGATTGGTTTTCTTCTCCTCACCAATCGTTGACGGAATTGTCGCCTCTTTTCTCGAACGCAAGTCCTGTATATTAAGTGTAAATAAAATTTTATATTTTATTAGAAAAATAATTGATTGATTGTAAACCTGAACCAATAAGAGCTTCTTCTCAATGTCTGCATTGTTTGGTTCAATAGTTTTGGCAAACTTTAGGTTAGTTTCAGTGTATTCGTGACCGCAATAGACTTTCTGTTATTTAAATTCACAATTTAACAAATTAGTCACTTGTTGTGAATTTATAAATTATAATTATTGTGCAATTGAATGGTTACTGTGTTTTCTGGCAAACTTCTCAATATATCAATCAAAGCGGTGTGCATTTGATTGGGGGTTCCCTCGAAGAACTTCCCACAGCCGGCAACGAATAGTGTATCGCCTTTTTATAGCAAAATAAGTCAAATTAATTACAATATTAAACACTAGAATCAAAAGTAATTGAATGAAAACCTGTAAAAACTATTGGATCGGCGTTTGAATCGGTACTGGAAGTGACGTAATAGCAAATGTGGCCTTTTGTGTGACACGGAGTGAACAGACATTCAATGTTCAACTCGCCGACAGTGAGCCGATCGCCGCCCTTAACTAATTTAGTGAGCGCTCCGACCCTATCGTCGCCACCGACCACAGCGAGTGATGGCATGGCTTTATGCAGCTCTACATTGCCTCCCGAGTGATCCCAATGATGATGGGTTGTGAGGATTGTGGTCAGCACTACATTCTCTTCTTTGATTGCATTGAGCACTTTGTTTGGTTCGACCGGATCTATGACCGCAGCCTCTCTGGTCTTCTCGTCGATCAATAGATACATATAGTTATCTTCAAGCGCTGGAAGTAATGAGACTTTCATTTTGTTGCAATGGATGACAGACTTGGGCTGACTATGGAAAGACTTCTGGCGTAGTAATGGCCCAAACAGTTGTAAGCCTTTCATTGCAACCAATCAAACAATTTAATACAATCTCATCATTACTTTTAATTTTACTGTATATTCATTGGGTTTTGGTTTTAGTATTCATTATTATAAAGAGGTATTCCATTCACCAAAACACAAACCCATTGAATATAAATCAAATGTTGAGTTAATTAAACAGAATTGAAGTTCTTTAACAGTATTTCTATTGATTACAAGTTACGAATCATCTAACAATTAAAGGGTGATTAACTATAACGGCTTATGTATGACTAAAATCAAAGTTTCTATCATTAAACCTATTAAAGAACATTAATTAAAAAACACTTGCAATCAATTAAATCAATCAAATTGTAAATAAATGATAGAAAAAGCAAATCATATTTTAAACAAATCGGTCTTTATTTGGGCAAAAATACA